TGATCACGCCTGTGTCACCTGTAAGTTAAGCATTGGTCGCCCCGCTGCAGCTAACGTGAATGTCCAGACACGGAAACTCCGTGACATTAACTTAGATGCATTCCGTCGGGATATTTTGAATTCTCCAATGTGCTCATCTCCTTCCACAGATCTTGACACATTGGTTACTCAGTATGAGCAGAGTCTTGGAGATTTGCTTGATCAGCATACACCGCTACAAAAAGGTCACATAAGAGCCTGTCCTCATGCGCCCTGGTTTAAGCAATGACATCCGTTCAGCCAAGCGTGAGCTGCGTCGTCATGAAAGACGTTGGAAATCTTCAAAGTTGGAGGTCCATAGGCAGATTTTCAAAGAGCAGAGTCGTCGCTATACCCGGCTGATATCTGCTTCAAAATCTTAACTATCATAAGAGCCAACTGGAAAACTGCGACTCCAAGCGCCTGTTTCAGATTATCAACAAAATGTGTGTGCCGATATCATCATTGCAAATTCTCCCCTCTGACTTGTCGTCTGAACTGTTAGCTGGTAACTTTGCAAACTTTTTCTCAGACAAAATCAAAGGTCTGAGAAATGAACTTGACAACTCAGATACGGATTGCGCTCCTGTCCATGATCCTAGTCCTAGTGCATCATTTTGCCAATTCAGGGCATTGACTGAGAATACAGTGAGGCAACTTATCATGAGCTCCAAATCCAAATCAAGTGGTCTTGATCCAATACCTACCTGGCTGCTGAAGCACTGCATAGATGAGATCACGCCAACCGTAACCAACATCATCAACTTGAGTTTCAACAACGGCTGTTTCCCCAATGCATTAAAGTTTGCCAACATCACACCGCTTATCAAGAAACAGAATCTTGATCCTGACAACCTGAGGAACTATCGACCAATCGCCAATCTGTCTTTTTCTCGGGAAAACCATTGAGCGTGCAGCGGCCTCACAAATACAGTGTCATCTCGCTACTCACAATCTCGCAGGTAAAATGCAGTCAGCCTATCGTAAATATCGGAGTGTGGAAACGGCTCTTCTGCGTGTTTACAATGATTTGCTATTGGCTATTGACGAGGGTCGAGAGGCCGTTCTTGTGCTGCTTGATTATTCGGCAGCCTTTGACACAATTGATCATCATGTCTTGCTACAACGCTTACATCACCGCTTTGGCATCAACGACTCTGCCTTGGAATGGTTCACTTCATATTTTGCAAACCGTCAACAATCTGTGCTAATCAATAAGATCTCATCTCCCTCCCACAATGTTAATACCGGAGTGCCACAGGGATCTGTCTTAGGTCCACTATGCTTCACAATGTACACATCCCCACTGGAAGATCTCATCGCATTATACGGCGTCAGCTGCATGATCTACGCTGACGATATTCAACTCTACGTCACCATGACAGAGCAGCAGCGTCCTGACGTCATTCAGCGACTAGAGTCATGCCTCTCACACATACAATCTTGGTCCACTGCCAATAAACTCAAATTGAATAGCGACAAAACTGAAGTCATCCATATCACCTCTCAGTTTAATCACCATACTCCAATTGAAAGTCTTCGCATCTCTGACTGCTGCATCAGACCTGTCACCTGTCACCTGTTTCATTAATTGCTTTATTTCATAATATTACTGTGAAGCGCATCGAGATGTGCTATGTGAAGCGCTATATAAGAAATGTGTTATTATTATTAAAGAAAACGAATTCAGCTTCGGCGAGCGCTACTAGTACTTTATTTCCCGAAAAAAAAAATCGAGGCCTTTTATTCTCAAGAGCTGATGTTATGGCTCCGGCCATCTTGCGTAGTGACGTCTCAATCAAATATCACCAAGGTGAACAGTTCAATAATACTTAGAAGGCTTACCGGCATTCGGACAGGATGTTTTATTTCGAAGGTCTTCTTTTAGTTTATCTTATCTCATATCAAACACGAAATTGAGAGAGAAATAGTAAAAGCACACGATGCCCCTTCAATCACTTTGAAACTACCCTGTATTTATGTTCAAAAAAATCGACAAGGACGAACCAAAAGTTTCTTGAGGGAATCCCAGGCAATTCGAGCACATCCACCACATGAGAAACCTATGGAATTCCATATCTGCCGTCGTGCATCGCCCGTCGTGCGTCGTCCGTCGTGCGTCGTCCGTCTTGCGTTGCTCGTCGTGCGTCGTCCGTCGTGCGTCGCCCGTCGTGCGTCGCCCGTCGTGCGTCGCCCGTCGTGCGTCGCCCGTCGTGCGTCGCCCGTCGTGCGTCGCCCGTCGTGCGTCGCCCGTCGTGCGTCGCCCGTGGTTTTTTTTGTCACGATTGTGCAGTGGTATTTTAACTTTGACCCTTGATCGTTT